ATCTCTCACTATTTTTTTATATTACTGTTCTTCTTTATCATAAATTACTTTTCACAAATGCACTGTGACGCTATTGTAAGAATGTTAATCTCTTTAAACTTGTAGAGTGCAGAGAAAACGAGACGGTTATAAGAATACCCCAATAATTGTAGAGACTGGCTCAACTATAACAAAGACTAACATATTGAAAGCATAAATCCTACAACATCAAAAATAAAGAAAAACTGCGAGGCAAGGTTTTGAGCTTCACCTCAGAGGAGGAGACGGAGATTTTTATTTCTGAACAACTAACAGCGAAGGGAAAAAAACATGAAAAGAAACCGTTTTTTTTCTGGAGTACATTTTTCTCTCTCTTCTCTTTCGTATCAATCTTAACAGAGTGGTCGTGGTCATCCCGGAGTACGTTTGTTAACGGCTGATGTTGCTTACGTAACGTCACAAATAAATATTAAATTTTTGTTATAATTATCACGTTAATTGATTTTTATAAACATGTTATATATATATTTAGATATATACAACACTAGCCATGAGTCAAATACAATCAATACTACACAAACATTTGGGTGTGAAAAAGCTGTGCTATCGGTGGATCCCACACAATTAGATTGAGGCTCAAAAAACGAATCGCGTCATTTGGTGTGGGACATAGTAACAGGTGACGAAACATGGATTTATAGTTACGATCCCAAAACAAAGCAGCAATCGAGCGTATGGGTCTTTCGAGATGAGCTAAACCAATTAAAGTGGCGCGTGTGCTAAGTGCCTCTAAGCGGATGATTGCTTCTTTTTTTAATAAAACTGGACGCGTGGCTACTGTTGCTTTGGAGAATCGTTGTACCGTGAATTGTGATCGGTACATGACCATTTGTTTGCCGGAAGTTATTGACAAACTCCGTAAAAATAACCGTAAACTCCGTATTATCTTACACCACGATAATGCCAGCTCTTACACGGCCAGACGGACAAATGAATTTTTGAAGGTGAACAACGTTGACCTTATGAGTCATCCCGCGTACAGTCCCGACCTGGTACCTTGTGACTTTTATTTATTTCCAAAAATTAAGAACCACTTACGCGGTCAACGATTTTCATTACCTGAAGAGGCTGTCGAAGAGTATGAAAAATATGTTTCAGAGATATTCACGGAGGAGTGGCATAAATGATTTCATAAATGGTTCATTCTTATTAAAAAGTGCATTAATGCTAACGGAGAATATTTCGAGAAACAATAAATTCATTTCTGTCCATTTACAGTATTTTTTCTTATTAATTCCGGAAACTCGTAGTGCGCCCCATGTATATACATAGAATATTAAATTAAATATTATAAACTTCCAAACCCACGTATACCTTGTTCATTCAAACGCACCACCTCACACACAAATTTCACACTTCACCCGCATACACACACACCCACTCGTTCACTCACTAACTTATACATTTCATACTTTCAAGTTCATCATCTTTTGTTAATTTTAATTATCTTTTCTTTGTTCTTTTTACAAATTGGAGCCTGCATTACTTAAACTCAATCACTTAATCATAATTTAGATATTGTTTAGAATAAGGAAGAGCGGAAATCCCTAGCACAAGTATGGTTTATTACTTTAAAGGGATTCTCGAGACACTAAAATTGTAAAAAAATTTGTGTCTTGAAATAAAAACATTTTTTGTTTTTATCGAGTTCTTAGGTTTTCGCGATTGTTATACATAAGAAACGAAACTATTTTTCCGGATTAAAGTCGCGTATATTTGTTCTTTTAAACAGACCGACGCTTCGGGCCCTTTATTTTAGATTTTTTTTTAATAAAAATAAAATGTAACACATATACTTGAACTAGGAGAATCCTATATTTTAGGTAAAAAGTACTAATTATACTGGTGGATATGTGACTAAATTATAAACAAAAAACATTTTACAATAAAATGCAAATCATATACCTATGCGCTTAAATTAGACAACATTTATTTTAGGATAATTAATAAATTCTCTGTATCTTCGTAGTACATATTTTGAAGGAATTCTTGGAAAATTTTCTTAACCTTTATGTAACAAAAATTATATATGGCTAATTTGGCGTTCAATTTATTGTAAAAAATGGCCCCCAAAACTCAAAAAATCCGGATATAAACAACATGTTTTGATGATACAATTTTGGGGCAAATAATATCTTCCCGTATTTTGTTAGCGTTTTCAGTACTATATGGGAGTGCAATGTGCTGTTTGAGAACTGTGGACCTTACACGACTTAAACAGAAGGTCAGTGGGGTAAAGGAAAGGGCGCAAGGTAGAAGCCTTTAGAACCGCTCGCTGGGCTCTCTCAATGATTAGTATTGAAGTTTTAGCAATACCACATCAAGATGTAATGCAATATGTAATAATTGATTGACATATAGCATAATAAACTTGCCTAATTATTTTAAAATCACCAATAGCGCGTAATGTTTTAAACACATCATTAGCTTACGGATTCGACCGCTTAGTGCTTCGATATGGTGCTCAAAAGAGAGGTTATCTTGTATTATAACACCTTAGTACTTTACCTTGTTAGTAATAGCAATGTCTGGACCCTTGCACAGGTTATTTTTAGTCTCCTTACAATGGTGAGCAAAAAGTTGTGTGTTAGTTATAGCAGATTTTGGTTTTCGCATATAGAACTGCATGAAACTAGTTTTATCCGTGTTTAGTGTTAATAAATTTTGCTGCAGCCAGTTATTTACGACATTGAATCCTCGCTGAGCAGACTCATAGACTTCCTTATCAGAGTTAGCAGAAAAAAGCAGAGTAGTACTATCAGCATAGGATACGATGTTCCCACCATCTAATTTCAGATTACAAAGGTCATTAATGTAGATCAGAAACAGAGTAGAGCCTAAAATACTTCCTTGGGGAATTCCAAATGCATTACTCTTGAGAACAGAACTGAAAACGTAATGGGATTAAAGCTTCTGCAATAGGATGGGTATATAAACTGTATCATAAGCTTTCGCGAGGTCCAGAAATATCCTCACTGTTTTGTTACACTCGTCAAGTTCCCTTGCTAAAAAATCCGTAAGGTGATGCACAGCGTCAGATGTTGACAATTTGGATCTGAAACCGAATTGTGTTTTAGATAATATGGATTCTTCTTCCAAATACAATACAAGTCTATTATTCACAAGTTTTCCTAATATTTTAGATATTGCTGGCAGTAACGAAATAGGTCTATAATTCGTTATTTGTTCCTTGTTACCAAACTTATGTACCGCGACAACAACAGCTTTTATAAGCATTAGAAATATTCCTTTTGTTAGAGATATTTGGAAAATGAATATAAGCGGTGAAAGTAGGATGTGTCTGAATTGTTTTAGTATTTTGTTCGATATGTTATCATGACCAGGAGCACTATCGTCTTTTAGGCTTAAAATTATTCTTTCAACCTCACTTTCATCCGTATTTAATAGTACAATGATCCCAAAGACTTGCGACAGACGGATTGATTGCTTTGTAGTGGAGAAAGCGACAAAGTTTGAATTTTTTATGCCAGATTTTTACCTGCGTTGACGATAAAACCATTTGCGATTCATGTTGTTTTGATATACATGTAACATTTTTTATATATTTCCAAACTTTTTTACTGTCTGTACCAGCTTTGTCCAATTCCTTTTTATCGTAACTATTTTTAACTTTTTTAAGAAGGTTGTTACAAAAGTTCCTATATCTTTTGTACGATGCTTGTAATATGAAATTACCTTGTCCCCATGTCGTATACAGCGAATAAGTCCCGGTGTAATCCAAGGCTTGATATTGTAATTTTTAATATTTAATAATATATTAATATATTAATATTGATTGCTGTATAATTTTTACTACGTAGGACATACAGAAATGACTGGTGACGCAATCAGAATTATAAACTGGGTTAAAATCAATGTTGCATAAATCTTCTTCAAGTTTATTTATATTGATTTTAGAATTTATTCGCGTGCAATTTACAAATAATTTTATTAATTTTAATTTACGATTAAGGATTAGTAGGGCAGCTGTATGATCGGTTATTGTCGAGTTATTAACTAATGCTATTGATTTAAAAATGAACTTAAGCTTAATATGATCTAAGCAAGTGCCGCTTTGATGAGTGGGGAGAGTGTGCGCAGGAAGTAAGCCTTGAAACGAGCATAGGTTTAGGTATTCTTGCGCACAGGAATCGATGCTATCTGGGAGAATGTTGAAGTTTATGTCTCCCATTAATACATACATTTTTAAAAGATGATAAAAGTTGAAACGTACCGTTAAGTGAGTCAGTAAAAATTTTGGTACTTCGAGAGGGGTCTGTACAAAGCTAATATTGCTATGTCTGATCCAATTTTGATTAGGAGCCGATTGCAATCTAATATATTTACTTCTTCAACTAAAATATTTATATTTTTCCTAGCATAGACCACTGTACCGTCATTTTGGTTGTAATTTTCCTTAGAACTGTAAATATTAAATAGATTTCTATATTTATCTAACCAGCAATCTGTCAGGACTATGGCATCACAGTTAACGTTTAATCTTTGCAGTACTGACATTGTCAAAATTCTTATAGATGCTGCGTATGTTATGCTAACATATACTAACGTATAATTAGAGGATAGCTAAACGGTAATAAATATTGTCTGCAAATTACAACTTCACAAGACTTTGACTCGGATACAGAGAAATTATCCAAGTCGCAAATCAAACTATCAATCATAGTGTTTAAGTAAATTAAATTCTATTTCAATAATTAGTGAGTGAGTGGCGCTTTTAAGCGCCTTCGTAATCTATTGAATTGATGTACCTGTTTTCGGCAATTTTTCTAACTATCAACAACTACAACATCAATATCAATGAGATAGAACTTTAATTATTAAAAAGAAATATCTTTTTTTTGGATTTATTTACTATACTGATATAACTTAATTTCCATTGAATAATATGGTTGAAATTTTGAGGATTCCAAAAATCGAATTGACGAGACTAGGTAATATCAATGGCGCGACGCGTTGGCGCCGTCCGCGAGCGTGCGTACAGCTCCTGTACCCGGGCTGCGCGGCGCGGGAATGACGCACTGTGCCATTCATCTCTTGACTCTTAGCGGCATACGGGTGCTGCTTCTTCAAAACAGCGACCACTGTTTCCATCTGAATAGGAGCACTAAAGGAGAAAAAATATGTGAGTATTTTTAATTATTGCACCGTTTCTTACCATACATATTTGATCGAAGGATCGTGTGTGATATTTTACCTTTTTCAAAATGTTTTCCGTATTTTTGGAATTAGATTCTTTGAACCATTATTTTTCATTTACGTATTTTATTTAAACTATTATTATTGTATGTAACCGTCATTTGAATTGTTTTTTTAATTATATATTGTTTTGATGAAACTGAACTTTATTCGCTTACAATGACAATATACCATTAATTTATATGAGTATTTTTTTATAAAATTAATTAATTAGGAATTATAATAATTTGTTGCCTTTATTATTTTAGAGTTATTTTAGGTTTATAGTTATGTATATAATATGATAGTAATAATATGAATTATAATCAAAAAGTGTGACGTCACAGGCAGTTGGCATGTTTCCAATACTGTTATTGATTAACTAATCTCAGTTTGGTTCCTAGATATTCACAACAAAGGAGAATATGAAAATATTAATGACAAAAGAGCATGATGTGACTTCAATATTTTAGAATCAAAAGAAAATTTAGTTTGGTGTATAGCAAAACCTATGAAAATTTTTTTCGCTCACTATCAGTTAGGTACCATGATTGACCGTCATCCTTGAGGATAGTCGACTACTTGGACCCGACGAATTTTGCAACAGTATCTCGTCAACTCTTTACCTTTAAAATCAAACAGAAAGCATTTGACATAAGGTAGTCTGTCAGTAGCTTTAGATGTCAATGGATGGTTAGGACCATTATAACTGATTGCAGTTGTAATGGTCTTAACCATCCGTTTCACTGACTTCTTTTGCAACTCTTACAACCCCATATTTACATTATATTCGATGGGCTCCGTATAGAATCCAAAGAATCTCGGTGAGTGAACACTAAAAAATTAAATATTTCTTTAAAATCATTACAGGGCTGAAGAAGGAGAAAAAGCCGCACCCTCGACATCTACCCCAGCAGAAGTAGGAGCTCCAGTTGGAGAGCCTGGCTCTTCATTGGATGCTCCAACTGGAGACGGCGAAATCGTAGGCGGTCCTCGCAACATGCAACAAATAGCTGCACAAAGACGGCTGCAACAAACCCAGGCTCAAGTTCAGGAGGTAACTACCAATTTCTGTATGATATAAATATTTCCTCTAATAGAATGTTTTCGAATAGAATGTTTTCGTGGCTGTACAAAGCTCAAATAGTTTCTCCTTTGCCACTATTTCCTTTTCTTTAAACCCTGGTCTATTATCCTATAAATCTTGGTCTTCAGTACACCGTCTTCGATCTTTTCATTAATCAAGCATAATATGAATCAACATGTTTTCTCTTTTCTGTCTATTATAGTGTTCATTAAAGTGTTTAGTAATACCACAAGAAAACAGCAAAGTTTTTAAAATGTTGGGGTATGCCATCTTGTTATGCTATGCACTATGTTACTTTACATTTGGCGACCGAAATGTCTATTATGTATTGCATATCAATGATAAAAGTACTTAATTAAAGTATTTGTTGCACCCGCTGCCTATTTTTATGTTTTAATGTTTATCCTATCATACGAAAATCGCCTAAAACAGATGGCTGCCTAACAATAAAACCTCCGGTCTTATGTAAATTTGTATCATATATTTATTTGCAAGTGAGATTATATAACTCATGATATAGATTTAAAATTAGCTCAGCGACTACATTTTTGTTATATCTTACAGGTGGTTGATATAATGAAGGTTAACATGGAGAAAGTAATCGAAAGAGACACAAAACTGTCGGATCTGTCAGAAAGAGCAGGTATGGTGTACTATAGAAGCAAGACCAATTATAATATCCAAACTAAATAATCCATTGGTATTTTACAGAGGCGTTACAAGACGACGCATCGATGTTTGAAAAGCAGGCAAAAAGTTTAAAAAATAAATTTTGGCTAGAAAACTTAAAGGTAAATGAATAAAGTAATGAACGTTTTAAATCAAATGAACAAACGAAATTATATCTTTAATTTCATTATTTCATTGTATAAATATTTTGTCTTATAGATAAGCTTTGTTATATGTTTGTGTCAATTTGTAACTTGTTTATGCAATTTCAGAGTATGATAATCAGCGGTATCATTTTACTTATCATCATTGGCGTGATATATGGTAAGTCATGTATCTATCTACATCCATTAACTACTAATACGCTGATCCGATAGGCTAAAAGTTTGTCATAAACGAAGGCTTCCGGTGATTACGTGCCATTAGCGAATTTGACACCGCGCCGAAAGCGGAAAGCAGACGAAAGCGGATAAAACTCATAAACCATACAGTACGGCAATGGTTCCTTACCTGGGGTACACATACACCAGGAGGTCAGTAACCATTGACCCCCTGGTGATTGCGCGTACATGGGTACAAGCGCAGAGTCACCTTAGTATTATAAAATAAACAAGCTCGATACAGTTGAGGGTTTTGTAACTCGAGAAGGTTAGGAAATGTCTTCTGCGTGGCTAATCCATTAAGACTCCAAGACCGTAGTAACAGCTCGTACAGCTGAAGTGCGAAGGATACTTATGCATTCGTTACACACAAATCCGTTTTCTTGAATAGTTCTAAAAATCTATCGCAAATTTTATATTTTCAGAGGTGTATTTATAAATACAATCTACTTATGCTGAAAAAACTGAAATATGAAGATACCCTGACATTGCATGGCGCTAACTTCTCAACGGCATAACAAGCAATCTGTAGGACGTTTGTTAGTACCTGTATATATATATACATATATATACATATATATATATATATATATATATATATATATGTATATACATCTACGAACTAGTAAAACATTTAGTACAATTAGTATTTATCATAAATAGTATCTATTATTAAAAATACACATTTTTTGTTTAATACGAAATCAATTATTGTTATTTGAAGACTAAACATTTTATATAATCAATATAATCAATTATATAATCAATAGCATAATTGCAGGTTTATATTATAGTCTAAAAAATAGTCAAATATATAGCTGTATGATTTTTCAATGTACATACGGATAGTTAAAATATATTTTCTTAAAATATATTTATTTACTTCTTGTAAGTAGCAGTATAATTTACAATTGTGCAAAACATGTACAGTATCGACATTGCGTTAAGTAATTTATTAATATTTATTGTATATACCAAACTCATTGAGATTAGTCACGTCATTAAGAATTTTACTAGAAGGCACAAGGCTCAAAAATCTCAAACAAATTTAAATGCTTTTGAATAAAGCGCAAAGACTATGTTTAGCTTATAGCTTTGATTTGAAGGATAAGTCAATTATTTTTCAGTACTATTTTCTAATAACTATACTAGTACACCGAACAATTTAACAATACAACTGAGTACTCCCTATTTAAACTGCTTCCCTGCTAAGGTGAAATGGTCCCGCGTCGAAACCACGAGTTGAAAACTACTATCGACACGGTAATTTATTTTATTTTATAAACTTTACGAAAATGCACACTAATTATACTATTACAGTTATACTTAAATAGGAGTAATAAAATGACATTTACGAATTTCCACCTTTTGCAAACAACATTAAGTGCTTAATTAACAAAGTCAAAGAGAAATATATAATAAATTAATAAATTAATTATAAAAAATTAATATATAAAAAATAATTATTACACAAAAACTAAGTACACATAAATAACAAATGACCTATATTCGACAGTTTCAGTATCCTAGAATAGCTACGAAACTTGGACTTTCGGACATAGTACTGTACGTAGATGTAACGATATTTTATATTAGTACAGTATTAAAAATACAAAAATGTTGTGTAGAGTAAATTAAAAAGACAATAAAAAACCTATTGCACCGCTGGTATTTTAATTACATTATTTGATCTTTGCAATTCGGCAATTACGTTTTAAACCTCTACATAAGTGGTAACTTATTTGTTTCTATTCACAACTGCGAAATCAACCAATTATATAATTACTATTTATTATATTATTTATTATAGTTAAATATATTTTAACATCAAAATGAATGAAAATAGCAACAAAAAGTTTTATATATCAATTTGAACACTTGTTAAGCTAATTTCTTCGACTGGTAACACGTTCTAACATAAAAGGTTAACTTTAGCGCCGCCATTTTAGAATTAAAAAGCAATGCCCTTTGTATAACAATTGAGATAAGAAGTTGTTGTATTATCAAAATAAACACTTTGCATGTATTCACCAAGCATCGTCATGGTGAATTTAACTAACGATGCATCAAAACAACTCAACATTTTTACCCTGTGATGCTAGTGAACCTGCCACACATTATCTACACGGTTACTCATCTCAAGTGCCTGTCAGCGTCAAAACGCCAGGCACCACTACCACGATATCCTAAAAAACATCCACACATCGCCGTTTTTGCATATATCTTTGTCTTACAAGAGCCATCAACCTATTGTTAGAAAGAGAAGGAAATTTTGAGATTGTAGTGAAGAGAAGTCTACTCAGAGCATAGTGACCCCCCCAGATTACGTGTGGCCTGTAGGTAATAGCAAATTGCGATTATTATGTTAGGTCGTAACTAGGTGTTCGCGACTTTCCCTGTAATCGTATGGCGTAAACCGCTTTGTTGCGGGGTTAAACACAATATAGTAGTACCTACTTGCGAAGACCGAAGTTATGAAAACCTTCCAAGAGAACATATGCAAAGCCATTAGCAGCTGCAATATTAGATAAATACTCTCATAACTGATTAACGGGTGGGGGTAAACGCGACGGATTGAAATAATCAGAAAATAGTTCCCACCAGATAAATGCCTACATCGAGGAAAACATCGAAAATGACAAGGGACCAATTTCGATAATTTTTACTCATTGATAAACTGCACAAAACAAGAACTAAATGGACCCATAGTGACATTTGTAAAAGTAGTATCCTATGGCTCCTCCACTAATACAAGTTTACACACTGTGTCACTGTTTCTGAGAAGGGGCATCCAAAAGCTTTTAAACTTAATTATTTAAGCTATATTATTATAGCCCTACACCCAGGAATGGATTACTCTGAACTTGAGATACATACACAGAGAATAAACAACCAAACTTTTTTCCTATATCTATATTCACAACTTTTCAACTCTATTTATTACTCATTTGTAGGGTAGATTCCTCAGAGAAAAACGAGTTAGAAACTCTAGTTGCTCTTTGTATAAAATACTATACACGTTTATCATTATTCGACACCTCTGCAGCACAGGAGTCTATATCACACTCTTTTAGGATCAAAGGTAAGCATTTCTCCGGCTAAGAGATAACAACTTATGGCGTTTCAAATTAGTAGAGGTAAGTATTTTTTGTATTTCCAAACAAAAGCAACAACTTGAAATCGTCAATTACACTTCAATAATCGAATAGATAGGATACCGACTGTATTACAGTGGGAACAATCATATTATTGTAATGGAAATAGCTGGTAATGTTGTACGGTGTAACATGGAATCACATTTCTAGATTTTTGTTTGGATGTGACTTCTAAAATGATTAAGATTTAGCGTTTTTCCCCGATGAAATTTGTATCGTGGTAATGAGATGTCACTGCCATAGTAAACAATTAAATCGTAAAAAAATGGATTGACGTAAAAATCGATTTTCTATTGTTATTGCTAACATCAGTGATATATATGAGGTCTTGGATTCGATAGCCACTAAGGACCGGCATCACTGCGTGTCGTTTCAACAGCATGTGCTTTACTGTACTAATTATTACTTAATAATACACGTCAAAAATGGTTCTCGTAACTTTACAGTTCTTAGGAACACACTTTTTAAACGCATATGCCCAACATGAGGACATATATGTAGGATTACTAGATTTGAACGCATGCATTATTATAATTTAGGCAAATGTGAACGTATCTAAACTAGGGAGTAAGAGAGAAGGAGTGTGCAATGAGAGCGATGATTCGAAATTAAAGGAAATTATAGAAGAGAAGACGAGCGCGCGGGGCTTTTGTTTTTATGGACGATGCACAATGAAATAAATGTTTTACCTACTTAACATTTTTCTTTGATTATACCACATATACAGAAAGCATAATGGATATAAAAAAAGATAATGATAAAAAATATTTACAAAAATGTTTATACAGGCAAGTGAAACCTTTAGAAACCTGTGGGACTCCGTATTTGGTGCAAGGCCATACCAGGCCTTATTTTTAATTTAATTTTATTTTATTTTCAAACCTACTAACACTAACCCTAAGAGAATTTGTTACTAACACTAAGGCCACTATTCTGAAATAAGTGCTTTATTATTATTACGCATTTTGGACTCTTGCCTCTTCCATGGTTTGAAAGATTAAGTTTGATTTTCCAATGATATAGAATAAGTATCTTATCGAGCAAAATCTCTTTCTGCATTTGTGCTGGAAGCGACAAGCTACAAAAATTCAACTACCTTAAGCTGCTAGCAAGGCTGAGTGGAATTAACCCGTTTGCGGACAAAACTTGGAATTATTATTTAAAAATCAAGTGGCATATACACAATGTCTCATCTATGACTTCAAAAAAGGCATTGTTCTGTGAAAAAGGGGCAAGAAACTCTATTCAACTGACCTTATGCGGCGCGGATTAATTTCCAAACACAGCCAATAAACTATTAACTCCTTATAGGTTATCTTAAAGTTCATTTTAATTCAAAACTGAGTGTTTGGATCTCGTAATAGTTTTCACATCGTACAATTTACTTTTGCTGGCTGATATAGGGAAAATACCGCAGGTTTCAGCGACGAAACAAACAATAATATTTTATTTATAATTAATAATGCACATAATCGTAGCCCCGCAAGGGAAACTCTGTGTAGCGGCTGCCATGGACACGCACATAAACAACCACAAATTACACCCAAACTCACGAGATAAATAGATGTACGCCATAGAAATATATCTCCCGGCCCGAGAATCGAACCCAGCACCTCTGCCTGGCAGACCAGCATGATAACCGTTCGTTCAAGGAGGCAGTTAAATAACGCCATGTTTGCTTTAAGACTCGTCAAAAACGTATAACGTAAACTCCTTCATACTACATAACAATGTACTATCACAAATGAATATTGAATGAAATAAGATGTAGGTCTCTACAATCTCATTTTCATATAATTAAGTGTACCTTAATTTTTTCTAAATCCAATAATGATAATATCTTGCCAATACGTATACTTTGTTCAATGTAAAGCAACCCAGAAGCCCATAATACATAAATTCAATATAAATCGTCTTATAATTTCTCGTTATCGAAACACGGATTTGAATATGTTCATTGTTTGATAATTAAAATGATTGCAATCGGTTAATTGCAAAACGTCGAAATCGAGCGCTATTGATTGTTGCGAATACCACACATATCTTAAGACTAGACTTAAGATAAGTGTGTAGGCCTTGACTATCATCATCTTTACTTTTGTTTACTATTTAAGATTACCGATACTCTCTACAACGAATGATGATATTCTATATACGAAGGACCAGCCCACAGAAAACGTACAATTAGTAACAGAAGAGCTAATTGGGGAAGAGTTCGTCCAGAGTAGTAATGCTACCTTACCTATTTCTAGCGCCAAACAATAATGTGAGCATTACTGCGTTTTGGTTTCGAAGGGTAAGGGTGTTGGTAAAATTACAAGCACAAGAGAGTTGTCAACTTATGTATCAGAGT